CCACACCCCCCCCAAGGGACAGAAAAGAATTCTCCACGCGCACGACTTACTTGTACGGCGAAACGGCAAGATAATATCCTAGGTATTAGGGGTTGGGAAAGGGTAGATCAGTAGCAACTAGAGGAGGTGTCATGGCTTCTGATTCTATTTTAGGAAAAAAAAGGGGTTTATTTTGATGACGTCACAAAAGCTATGGACGCTTTGTGAATATGGCCGATCATTTTGGTCTCTTCAAGTTTCAAAAAGGATGGAAAAGAATGATTTTAATGGCTATACTTTCATTGAACAATCATCAAAACAGACGCCATGACACCTCCTCGAGTTGCTACTGATCTAGCCTTTCCCATTAGGAGTTACTAAGCTGCTTTATACAAGCCGTTGAGGCGTAAGGGAGCTCAGCTGGTAGGGTGATGGAGCTATGGAATTCTTTCGCGCCCCTTTTATTTTCTCCTGTACGTATATCTACACAATGCACTGACTTGTGTATTTTATGCTATTACTTCAGTTACGTAATTACTGTATTCTACCAAGAAATTTCATTGGTATCTCTCATGCTCTCCTCTGCTAATACGGGTTTCCGCGGCATTATTTCGAGATATACTGATATTAGGGAATGAGAGGCAAATGCAGAATCAAAATGAGAAAGAATTCAGGTATTATATAATTGACACATTTGTTCATGTTGTAAAATAGTAATGAATATCAATTTAGTATAGTTACCTATGCAATTTTCTTTTAAAACGTAACGTTTTCTGTTATATTTATTTATGGGGAACTAAAGGAAATTACAAATGAGGCGTGGTGTTTCTGACCATTGATGGAAAGTCAGTGACTTTTTTATCGGTTATTAGCAACTCACATAAATGTCAGTTACGTTGGGAAATTGTATTATTTACTTATTTAGTTGGGTAAATCGATGCAAATTGGTGTTCGCGTAATTATAGTCCAGCCAACCAGATATTGGTGCAATAAGCCGGAGCCACTTCCTTTGCTATAATGATAATTAGTATAATTATAATTCTCAATTACATCATCTTATCATTGCCATTTTCATATTCTAAATATTGATTATCTTGAATCAGGACGCTTTCCCAGAGTTAGAGAAAATACTTTTT